TATGAGATCATGACCTGAGCTGAAGTCGGACACTTAATCGACTGAGCCACCCAGGCGCCCCGTCTCCTGCCTTGTTCTAAGGACACACCCCTGTTCTCCATTGCAGCCTTGGCCTGCCTGCATTACTGCTCGCTCTCCTGTAAGTCAGGCTGTGCGCGCCCCCACCCTGATTACAAGCTCTGTCCCCCGCCTTCACCCTCTGCCCCACTACACGGTCATGGCCACCTTCTGAACAGCAGCAGCCACCCTCACTTACTGAAGACCTGGTGCACCAGGTGCTGTCCTGGCCCTCGTGATTCAGTCCTTATCACAACTGTATGAGATAAAAATTATTTTCCCATTATACAGACAAGGTAACCAAAATTTACAGATTGAGTTTCTTCTACAAGCTCAGCTATTCACTTCCTCAACAAATATTTATCAAGTGCCCAGCATCCTGTTTGGTGCTGAGTACTAGGGATATAGAGTAAAGGAGACGCACGTTAAGCAAGTCCACAAATAAAATAGCTAAGTACAAACAGTCGTAAGATCCCTGGTGGAAAAGGCTGGTGCTGAGTGCCTGCTCTCAGATGGAATAAGGGGGGTCTCCAGCGAGCTGGGGAAGGAATTAGGGACAGCCTCTCTAACAAGGCCACATTTAAAGCTGAGACGCAAAGGTCAAAGGTCCCGCCATTCAGGGTGGGGGAGGGGGGAGGGATTCGAGGCAGGGGGAGGAGCACGGAGAAGGCCCTGTGGTTAGTGAGAGCGGGCAGTGTGCCCGGGGCACAGCTGAGGGAGAGCGGCAGTGCTGACCTCAGCAACACGGGAGCACCCCGCTCCGCAGGGCAGGGCCTCACGGACCACAGCAAGAAGTGAGGGGTTTCATTCCAAGCTCAAAGCAACAGCACAGACAGGTGGGGAGAAAGTGCATGTTGCTGGCGCCCAGGGAGCTGGCGTGACAAACAGTGTTCAGATGAGCGCGGACCCCGCAGCCTCCACGTGCCAGGCCCCCCGGGACCAGCTTCGCACACCGTCACGCAGAGAACCCCAGGGCCACTCTGACTCCAAGACGCCACTGGCCCCACTCTACAGATGAGCTTCTGGAAGCGACCTAACCAAGTCACAGGTCAGTTAGTGGCAGGGCCAGACCATCCTCAAGTCCGTGTCGTATGTGTACAGCAGCGTGCCTGCGAGGCTTCAGGGCAGCACACCGGGCAGGGGTGGAGGATGAGGGGGTCTCTTCTCCAGTAAGAAGCCAGTCACCACAGAGAGCCTGCAGAGCAAATCCGGAGGCGCACGCCTCCTGGCCGCAGCACACGAAACCCTACCCACCTGCCTCAGCCGAGACCCAGCAGGTTCGACACAAAGGGATGTGGGCCTGGGTGCAGAACGCCAGCACGCCGGGGCGGGCGGGTAGAGACCAGAGCGGCAGAATTTACTTTAAGGACACAATTGCATAACTACAAAATGCCACATGCACGAGGAGACTCATCAAAGCTTTGTGACAGTGAAAAATTCGAAATGACCTGGATGTCCCACACTGAGAGACAATGTAAGTTTTGGTTCAAGCCCTCCCTTTTAATACAAGTTGTTATAGCTACTAGTCATTAAATAATGCCACCCATGCCATGCTCTGTCCGGAAGGTCACAGAAAAAGACAGAATTAAACTCTTCTGTATACAGACAAAGATGGTTACCTGGACTGGATATATTGGTCCAGGTTCTGGGCCTCCTCCACTCACCCAAAAAATGTTGAGAGAGAGAGAGAAATTGATTGACTTTGTCTCCAGAACAGGTCACACTACACAGCACAGTCCTTCACAAAATGCTGCCTCTGCCAGGCTTCCTGGGGTCAGGGTCCGGAAGCCCCCACTACGCTGTCACCTAGAAAGGACCAGTAAGACAGGCGGACTTGCCAGCTCCTCCCCCTAAGGCCTGCCCCACAGGCGATTACCGCCTCAGCTGATGCGGGTATAGACAACGGATCAAGTGGCTTTCACACATAGGGGACAGCAGAGGACAGCATGAAAGACCGCCTGTGTGGAAGGCCTGGTTCCTGGCCTGTAAAAGTCGGAGCCCTCTCCGGGCCGCGGAGTGTCCGCATGTCAAAGGAAGGGACGGATGACCTCCCCCAGATCTGAGTCTCGGCCTCACTTCTCGACCTCTCCCGACCCCATCCCCGTAGCTCCAGCACCACCTCACGGAGCCGCCTTTCAGTGACAGCCTGTTGCCAGGCCTCCGGCCCAGGGGCCTTATGAGAGCACAACTCTGGTCTTTTCCCTCCCAGATGAGCATCCACCACGGGCCACCCCTCATCTTCAAGACAAAAGTCAACCGAAGCAGTGTAGCATACGAGACCCCGACCCCTGCCTTCTTCAGTGGCCTCACTTCCCTCAGGACCCCCTGACACAGCCTCCTTCCAGCCAAAGGGCGCTTACAATCCCCTAAACTCCTTGCGCCCAGCACACCTCTTGCTGTGCTTGCCCAGGTGAGTCCCTGTGCCTGGGATCCCAGTCCTCTCACCTTGGCTAATCCCTTCTTGTCTCCGATGACCTGGCTTGAGGAACACTTCCTCCGGGGAGGCTTCCCTGAATCCTCCAAGCCAGGTTCAGAGCCCTCCTCTGTGCCCCACAGCGCTCCGTACTTCCCTCTGTCGCTGCACTATTTTCCCATCCAACTCCCCAGCCAGCCCGGGAGTCTCATGACAGGGAAACCTACCTGGTCTTAATCTACTGCAGACTCCCGAGCCTCGGACCACAGCCTGGCCCAGAGCATCTATTTGAAAACACTGATCGATGAATGGATGAACTCTGAGCAAACCAGAGAAAAGCTGATGTCTTGCTACACCTTAGATAATAGACCCTGATATTTGGTTACCCAGCATCTGAGACTAGCATAAGAGGAATTATGAATTTCCCTGTAAATCAAAAGTATTCCAGCCCCTCCTTAATATGCATGCTGACTTTGAAATTAGCATTCGATGCCAAAAGCATTTCCTGTCAGCATCCCACAGAAAGTTCAGTCCACCTCTACACAGAGATCATGCACTCAGTAGCTCAAGCCAAATGAAACATTTCGGTGACTCATAAAGACTTGAAAGGGAGACACTGAGAACACTGTGGTCATTTCCATTTCAACAGCAGAATTTGCTCTTGAAAATGCTACAATAAAAAATATTAATGCCATAAAAACCTGACAGCAGCCGGAGTACCACAGTCATAAAGAAAAAACATAAATCCTGAAACATAACGGCACAGAAGACTCCCTCTCGCCTTCATGAACAACAGTGTTTAGGTCATCCAGAACCCATCTGGGGAAGGGAAGCTCGGATCACACGGCAGAGTGGAAAACTAATAATGAGTATAACAGCACTGAGGAGGAGAAAGCGCTGCGATGGGCCGAGAGGTGCCACACGCACATCCACTCACTTAACCCCCCCAGCAGCCAGCAGCCCGCAGCCCGAAGATGCAGAAAAACTGTCAACATGCCCCTTCTAAGCACAGAGTACAGAGAGAACAGCAGTGAACCCGCAGGCAGCCTGGGTCCAGAGGCCACGGTCTGCCGTGTCACATCCCTGCGCCTCAGTTTCTCCTACGGTTGGATTCAATTTGAAGATTCCTCCCGGTTCAAAAGGCAGACAGTAACATGTGAAAGGAAAATTCTAAGATTCTGTTAAGTTTTTCCATCTAGGAATAAAATTCAAAGCCGTGTCCTTCAAAAATTAAATAACTCTGTGTCTTGCGGATATACTTTCGTATTAAAGTAACGCATATGAAGAGCTGAGTCTTTAAAGTGCCCAACTCAGAGCGAGAGCTCAATAAACAGTGGATATTCTTACTCAGAGGATAAAACAGAAACAGCCATTTAATAGCAGAGCACGTTTTAATTATACACGATGTGGAATAATCAAATCTCATTTGATTGAGGCCCCAGACCCCACAGCATAGATCCAGTTGTACAGTTGAAATGAGAACAACTCAAAGCTCAGAAATTACTTGTTTCCATTAGAGATCTGACAAGTCATTTCTTCAATTGGTCACTGGTGGTTTGCAGATAACTATTAGCAGTAATGAGTATTCTAAATTAAATCCAGAGACAGTACCGCTCTGTTCTGTAAAGACAACCGGGGAGAGAGAGACGTAATTGTGGAACGTCCTTCTCTCTGTCCTCCATCTTCCCCCTGATAAATATCCCCTGTGTCTTGCATAGTATGGATTTCATTTGGCTGCAAATGAAGAAGGGTCTAATTCTTCCCATGATAAATGAGAGCACTGAACAGGTAACTTGTTAAGGAGAATTGGAATTGGGAAAATAACCTTATTTTCCTGTTCCTTGACAACAAGCCCCCTCTGCTAACAAATGGAAGACACGATGCGGGAAGACGCTACGCACGGAAGCCAGATCCATCACCACGTAAGCCGTCCTCAGACACCCCGCACACAGCCCGGGGCGCAGGCTGCTCGCGCTCCGCTCAACGGCAACAAAGACGAAGCCTACGAGACGCAAGGAGGCGGCACAAAGCGGCGGCAAGAATAATGGTTTTGGAATCCTTAAAAACCTGGATTCAAATCCCAGCTCCGTGACTGTAAACAAGTCTCTCCTAGGCTTACGATTTATCTATAAAATGGGAACAATACAAAATGCCTCAAAGAGTTATGGCAGAGATTAAGTGGGGAACATCAGCAACACGCCTTACGTTACGGAGTGGCCGGTGGCAGAGATTAGCTCCTCTCTGCTGGGTAGTATGGGAATATCCCGACGTGCAAGACACCGGAAAGACATCGAACCCCCCAAAGCTGGAAACTGCTGATCCTGTCAGAACCTACATCTGGCCCGGGGACAAGAAGGCCGGCTGCCTAGGGACAGCCGCACAGAGATGCCCCCGAGATGCCACATTGCCCGTAACTCTGGCATGATCCAGCCTCGACGCCTCGCAAGAAACACAGCTCCCGCCCGGGCCTGCCTGGACAGCTGCAGCAGGCGTGATTTGTTAGGGATGACGATCTGGTATCTCCACTTACATTTTCAAAGTCCTTCATGTTCCGCGCTCTGGTGGGAGACACTGTTTCTTCGGACGCACTTGGGAGCACTATAAAAAGGTAAAACAGACACAGGAAAACGGCATGGTATGCAAATTGCCCAGCATCCCTATTAGGGAATAGAGCCCAGAAAAGAAGAAACAAAAACACGAAAAGTTTCCCCAGTACATTCTGCTGGCACTTTCTGTCTGATTTACTGACTTGAATCCAGGGAAAGCTCTAAGCCATTGTATTTCAAATATTTACAAATTACTTCAACGAGCCCCAGTGTAGCCCCAGTGTAGACGAACCCACAAAATGCACTGGGCATGTCGCCAATGCAAACTGCCCGTTAGGTGCTTCCTTAGTCATCGTCATGGAGTTGTTTCACTGAATGGGAGTCCACGTTCCCATGTCAGCAATTAGAGCGTGTCTAACTGCCCAGGGCTGGCAATTTTTTTCTTCAAATGCCAGACAATAAATATTTTAGGCTCTGTAGGCCATAAACAAAGTCTAAAACCCATCATAACTAGTCAGCTCTGCTGTGGACCACAACCACGACCACAGACAGCCCATGAGTAAGGAAGCTGTGCTCCAATAAAAGTTTATTTTCAAAAGTAGGCAACAGGCTGAAAACTGCCCATCCTTGCTTCGGAGTGATTACAGACCTGGCCACTGCCCAGAGCTTTTCACAGCTCCTCTATTCCAACAGACCTCCACCGCACACCTATTCCGCGCCATCGCCATGCTAGTGCCAGGGAAACTGGTGAGAGAGACACCGCTCCTGTGCCTAACGGCCCTCGATCTAGTGGGCAAGACAGAGATGTAGACAAACTGGTCCCATGCTGCAGAAAGTGCCTGGTGCTTTTAAGGTGTCGGGTGAAATGTGCACTGAGTAAATGAATGAAATCATTCTTCCAACAAATAACGCCTTAAGAGCCTCCTCTCTGCTAGGCACCACTCTAGATGTGGCTACATCAGGAAGCAAAACAAACGGAGCTGACAGTCTCGAGAGAGAAGACAGACAATGAACAAAATAACAGGCCAATTACATAGTACGTTAAAAGGGATAAATGCTACGGAGAAAAAATCAGTGGCAAAGGACTGGAAATATCCAGGGTGGGTCAGGACTGCAATTTTAAGTAAGGTGGCTAGGTCAGGAAGGTCCCGCGGAGAAGGTGCCCTCCGGGCAGACCTCAAGAGAGGGCAAAGGGAGAGGCCTGAGGTGGGAGGGTGCCCGGCGGATGTGAGAACAGTCGCAGGGACAGGAAGACACTAAACAAAGGGACTGCAGAAGAGGAGGTAAGCGAGGCGCTGGGGGGCAGGCTGTGGCTGGCCTTGCAGGTGACTGGGAGCCACCAGAGGGCTCCAGGCTGTGTCTGGCTGGACTGGGGTTTCAGCAGGTTCCCTCTGGCCACCTCGCTGAGACCAGACTGAAAGGCGCTTAGAGGGAGACAAGTGGAAGCACCAGCCCAGGCCTGAGATCACGGTGGCTCAGCACAGGACGCTAGGCGGGGGAGACAAGGTCTGATTCTGGAGGGTTTTAAAGTCACCAACCAACAGGAATGAATGCAGTAAGTGAAACATGGAAGTTCCAGAGGGGGAAGAACACCAAAGTGAACCTGGGGGGAGCCAAAGCCGGTGGCGAGCTTCGAGCTGAGTCTTAAAGAGGCAGCAGGCAGATGAGGGCAAAAGGAAGAAGACACTTCACAGGCAAAGGCCCAGGGGCAGGCATGGCGTTCTGAAACCAACGAGCACAAAGGAGGCTCAGAGGTGGGCAGGGGCGCACCATAAAGAACCCTGGGTACGAGACAAGGGCACACAGCTCTGTATCCCTGGCTCTCAGACACGCCATCCTCTGCCACCTAGGCCTGCGTCCCTGTCTAGGTCCTGCTCATCCGTCAAGTCTCAGCTCCAATGTCAATGTCTTAACAAACTCTTGCCTGACCACCTCCTCCTCACCAGGGCACCTCTCCCCCTCCCCCCCTCCCCCACCTCCTCCTCACCAGGGCACCTCTCCCCTTCACCCCCTCACCCCTTCACCCTCTCCTCCTCACCAGGGCACATCTCCCCCTCACCACCTCACCACCTCCTCCTCACCAGGGCACCTGTCCCCCTTACCCCCTCACCACCTCCTCCTCACCAGGGCACCTCTCCCCTTCCTCCTCCCTCACAGCACCTTTTTTTTTTATCATATGATTTATCATGACACTTCTTTGTTGAATTGTCTCTCCTAGGCTTGACTGTACCCACATTCAAGGGTGGATCCCGGTGCTCAGCCCAGGGCTTGGCACAAAGCAATGTATACACACTATGGACCGAAGTAAGGAGCAGGCCTAGCAATTTTCCACTTCTGCCTCCCTGTACTCAGGAAGAATAGAAGTTACTGGATTTTGTGTTTAAGCTAGAAGTTAGCAGCTTCTGAAGGAAAACCTGAGCATGGCCTGTAAGTATTCTCCAGAAATAAACCTCATGACACGGATACTGTCTGTTCTAAAAACTTCTCCCTTCTGCACGTCTCATCACTTTGGAAAAGAGAAGAAAAGAAAAACACACAGAAGTCAAAATATCTCTTAAGATATTTTAAAAAGGCAACTTATTCACACTTCCCAAAGATACTTATCATAGCATTCGCTTCCTTCAGAAACAAAAATTACAAAGAATGCTTAGCAAAGGCCGAGCTGCCCAGCAGAACGGCTCCTGCCAGCCTGGCAGGCACACGATAGACTGCTTAGCTCCTCTGCACCGTCTCCTGTGGTCTAACCAACTATTTGTCTCCAAAGGGCAGGCTGCCGAAGGAATGTGGGGCCTTGACCAGCAGCGGCACCCAGCAGCCTGCCGGGGAGGTCCGGGCACGTGGAAGCTCCAACGAGAGTGCTCAGGGCCTGCGGCCACTCGGCGGCAGAGAGCGGCCACCCCTGCGCGCCTGGCCAGGTCACCACTTCCACAGCTGGCCTCCGTGCCGGCGCTTAGTTCGGCAAATACTGGCCAAATCTCTACAAGTCTGGTGGCAAGAAATAAAACTCCTGAAATATGGCCTAAAGGTCATCAATTCCTCCAGGCCAGTGTTTAAGAGAGGAGGTGAGCAGCAACTCAGTGTGTATACAAAATACAGAGCACATACGGGGAGCACCTCGCCATGCCGGGGGAGGCCCTGGGCCCCAGAGACAACAAAGCCTGGTCCCAGGCTCAAGGCCACAAGGCCCTCACAGTCTAGTGTCTACTTCCCTTGTTCCTACTCAAGAGAATGCCCGGCTTTGTATACTCACCACCATTTTCCAAACCAGCAATGGGGTTGATGCCATCCACGTCATCTGGTAAATTGGGAACAAGGCCACTAGGAGAGAGCATGTGCAGGAAGAGACGAGTTAGTGTCTAAACAGACTGGCAGGGCTGCCTGCACTGCACGTGACACTCATCAGGCCACAGCCAAGGGGACACTCAGCTGAGTGACCTGGGAGCCATGAAATGCAGAGGTTAAGAACTCAGGCTTTGGGGCTCTACCACTTAACAGCTGAGTGACCTTCAGTAAGGGCGGTCATTCATTCATTTATTCATTCATTCATTCGTATATCAAGTGTTGTGTGTACCATTTATGTGCTCGGGGCAGAGGCACTTTGCCAACCATAAACTGATGTTTCTGAGTCTCACTGCGTATGTTATACGGGGACACCACTTTCCACCTGTAAACGTTAAATGAGTTAGTCTTTATAACACTCAGCCCATAGCACTCGATAAGCGGTTACCTACTGGTTTTGTCATTACTATTATCATCATTGTTAATATGCTTTTCACAACCAAAAATAAGCTTCCAAGACGTAGGCACCGATCCAGTTGCTTTAAGAATGTCACTGATCCAAGAAATGCAAAATTCACTGATCCAAGAAATTTTACTGGTTGAATTACAAATATAGGTTAAGTGAGGATCTGAAGATACGGACAGAAGACTAAACCATAATAGGAGGTGTGGACGGACACAAAAGACACTACCGTGGATTCTATCTGAAGCTGTCATACACCTCTCCAAGCCTCACTTCCGTCCGCCCTAAAAGGAGAACAGCAGCTACGTTGTAAGTAATCAGCAATCAAACAAGACACAAAGTGCTCAGCAAGGTACCTGGCATATTGTGGGCACTCATTAAACGGGAGCAAAATACTTCTGTCACCATGAAACAGACAGTGCTTTGTAACTTACAAAAGATTTACCATCTGAGAGTGGCCCACGTCCTGAGAGCCCATGCATTTTCAGAGGGCGGGCACTATGGCATAGATCATTTCAGCGGCCTGGCCATAGTCACACACCTACCGAGTCGAGAACCGAGGCCTTTTCTGTCTCACCCCCAATAATGCCTCCCTGTCCCAAGCTATCAACTAGGAGCTGATGGACACAGCTTGCCTTCCAGCAGTCTGTTCTCTCAGTGTTTCTAAATCCAAATCCATTCTGTTCCCCAGACAATTCTGCCTGATCACCAAATTCTGGAGTCGGGAACAGATCTTTGTGGTCAGAACCAAGAAAAAAACTGGAGATCACAAAATTCCAACTGCACAAGAATGATTACATAGTATGCGTCTGCTGTAAAGATAACTGAAAAAAATTTCAGTGGAATATGCCTTCAACTATGAAAAATTAAACACTAGAGTCACCTCAAATCCTTCCTGGAAATTACATGGCCTATACATTCACAAAAAGACAAAGGAAAATGTTAAAAATCCTCATATGTAGGAAAATGGGAGATACGTTCCTCCTTTTTAATTTTCTGTAATTCTCCATTTCCTCTAATAAGCATCAGTAGAAGGACACACTCCATTCTCTAAATTGAATATCAAAAGTTAAAATCAAGTTCAACCACCACCTCTTTTGCAGATGGGGGCCCAGAGGCCCTAACTCATATACCAGCTTACTGCTCAAGTTTAGCCTACGTCTGGTCTCTACATTCTAATCTGGGACTCTCTCCACCACAGCCACTAGCTTACTACCATTGGCTGAAAAGGTCCATCAATTACTCAAGCCAAGATCAACCACAGTTGAAAACTACATGGAAGGCAAAACCAAAGAATTTGGTCTCAGACATGTTTCCAAGAGGCAAACAATGAAGTCTGAAAAATGACATTTGACACCCCAATTATTAAAAGAAACTGCTATTTAATGCAGAAGTTCCTGCCAACTGGTTCCTGCCAACTTTCCACTTGGGTTTTACCTACCCATTTCCAAAACGCTCTGAATCTCTGTCATCTGCAATCTCCCATCGGTTCCAGCCACCCTCCAGCTTTAAGTAGCCCCCTCTCCCCCCTCGGACCGTTCATGCTTAGCCTTAGGCTGAAGGTTGAAACCAAAACTATGCAAGCGAAAGCAGAGGGCTTAGGTACAATCTTATCATGGTATGGATGGCGGAGACTAAGGCGCAGAACGGGGAAGGAACCTCTTTGCTCAAAATCACAAGTAAAGCAGAGACCAAAATCCAGAATTCTTAGTGTTCGTGTCACCGCTAACCTGTGCCCGGGCCGCCCAAGGCTCCCACATGAACATGGCACCCAGTCAGTGCCGGCCTCCTCACGTGCCAGGTAACCCACTTGCAGGGGTACCCACAGCAAACGAGCACCCCCTTGGGACAGGCAGCCTCCTGCTGAAGCCTCACATGGCCCTTCTACAGCAAGTAGCAGTTTTTTTTTTTTAATGTTTTATTTTATTTTTAGGAGAGAGAGAGAGAGAGAGACGGCGTGAGCAGGGGAGGGTCAGAGAGAGGGAGTCACAGACTGAAAGAGGCTCCAGGCTCTGAGCTGGCAGTCAGCACAGAGCCCGACGCGGGGCTCGAACCCACAAACCGTGAGATCATGACCCAAGCGAAAGTTGGACGCTTAACCGACTAAGCCACCCAGGCGCCCCAGCAAGTAGCAGTTTTAAGTGCTGCCACTTTTTCAAATGAGGAAAACAGAAACTCAGAAAAGTCAGTCAGCTGAGAGACCCAAGCTGGCCTGATTTCAAAGCCCGTGCTCTTAACCCCGACACCGCCCTGGCGCCCCTTACGCCTTCCTCAAGGGGGACATGGCGCGTTCCAAATGAACGCAGGCAGAGGATTTCCGGTGATGGGCACAGGGCACGGTCACCAGGGCTGCTTTTCATGGGCTCTCCGTTGCAAATGAAGAGACGCTCTCCCCTGCTTCAGCACCTCACCCTCCCATCCGGCTCCACCACCACCCAAGAGGCACAGTCAGTCCCTTTCTGTGCCGTGAGCGGCAGCGGCCACCATCCATTCACACCGCAAGACCCAACGAGGCCTAGAGGGCTAAGCGTCTCATGGATAAAGTGCTGGGAGAGCTGAGAATAGAACCGGGCATGACATTCAGAAAATAATTACACCAGGTGCACCTCTGTCTGTCTCTTAACAACTCACTTCTCCCTGTTCTATGTATCCTTAATTAGAGAAGAAATATATAATTACAGAAAATACAGACAAAAGAAGACACCCAGATGGCCAACAGGCCCACAAAAAGATGCTCCTCGTCACTCACCGTGGGGGGAGGTGCAAATCAAAACCGCAGTGTGGTATCACCTCCCACCCGTCAGAATGGCTACAATCAAAGAGAAAAGCAGTAAGAGTTGGCGAGGATGTGGAGGAATAGGAACCCTCATGCACCGCTGGTGGGAACGCAAACTGGTACGGACACCGTGAAAAGCAGTATGGAGGCTCCTCAAACAATTAAAACTAGAGGGGGCGCCTGGGTGGCTCAGTCGGTTAAGTGTCAGGCTTCAGCTCAGGTCATGATCTCACGGTTGGTGAGTTTGAGCCCTGAGTTGGGCGTGGTGCTGGCAGCTCAGAACCTGGCGCCTGCTTGGGATTCTGTGTCTCCCTTGCTCTCTGCCCCTCCCCCACTCAGGCTCTGTCTCCTCTCTCTCTCTCAAAAATAAACATTAAAAAAAAAATTTAAATTAAAGCTAGAATTGCTATATGATCCAGTAATTCCATTACTGGGCATGTACCCAAAGAAAATGGAAACACTAATTTGAAAAGATGCACCCCGTGTTTACTGCAGAATTGTTTACAATAGCCAAGATACGGCAGCAGCCCAAGTGCCCATCAAAAGATGGATAAAGAAGATAAGGTCTATAAATACAATGGAAAATTACTCCGCCGTATAAAAGGATGAGATCTTGGCACTGTAAGGTATTAAGAACAAATAATACCTAGAGGGTATTATGCTAGGTGAAGTAAGGCAAAGAAAGACAGACACCATACCATTTCACTTATATGTAGACTCTAAAAAACAAAACAAACAAAAAAGTAGAAACAGATTCATAAACACAGAGAACAATCTGGTGGTTGCCAGAGAAAGGGTAGGAGGAAGGGGCATATGGGTGAAGGGAGTGGAAGGAAAAAAAAAATACAGACAAGGCTAAAGTTCTGGACTAGTCCTCTAAGCAGCCCCCTCCTAAGAGGTCACCACCCCCCATCTTAGCCCCGTCCCCCCCGAGAGGTAACTACTGTTGCCAGCAAGACCCGTTTCCTTCCAGGCCTTTTTCTATGTATTTGCAAACATAAGGACATAGTTTTATTTTGTGGCTTAAAAACAAAACAAATGCACTCAAGCTGTATATCTTACTCTGCACCATCTTTTCTTTCCTTAATGTGTCCTGAAGATGTTCTCCTGACTGTAAAGATAGATCTACCTTCATGCTTTTAACTCCCACAAAGCATTGCACAGCCGTGTTTTTCAAACTTCACTGACCATGACCCATGGACGGAAGTATTATTACCCTTAATTCTTGAAGTGCTTTCCATTCTGTACTGTTCTGTTCTGGGTTTTTTTGGGGTTTTTTTTGTTTTTGTTTTTTTAATTCTGGTTACAACCTACTAAATTGAATTTCATGAGCTGCCAATGGGTCACACTTTGATATACACTTTGGAAAGGATGTGTATTTACCGGATCCCCTGATGGTAATTCAATTTATTTCCAACTTGTTTCTTTTACAAACAATGCTTTATGAATATCCTCGTACAGGTCTCCCTGTGCACATGCATGAGAATTTCTCTAAGGTAAAAAGGAGTGGAAATTCTGGGTCAAAATATATTCACATATTTTGAATGGCCAAAGGATTTGAAGACACAGTGGACCCTTGAACAACATGAGAGGCACTGCACAGGTCCCCCTAAACGTGGATTTTTTTCAATAAATACGGAATAAGTATCATAAGTGTATTTTCTCCTCATCGTGGTTTTAATAACATTTTCTTTTCTTTAACTTACTTTACTGTAACAATACAGTATATAATACATATAATACACAAAATGCGTGTCAATCGGCTGTATATGTTATGACTAAGACTTCCAGTTAACAATA